AATTTGTGCTTTGAGGAAGGATTAGAGCACACTCTCTTCGTCCTCTACTAATATCGCACCTGACGTACCTCATTATACGCCCGATGCCCTTTAGCCAGAGACCCAATTTCAAGTTCACACCTAGGGCGACTAACCTTGCGCCTGACGTGAACGAGCAAATTAGCTCTCTACTAAATACTCGCTCAACGCCATAGATGTGTGCTCAGTGCGTACTCAAACCAGAACAAAACCCAGCACACACAACCACTTCAAATTTCAACAAAACTTGAAACTCAGAAGAATCCTAAGGCATGCAACAAGTGTTCCAACTATCACAACAACAATAAACAACTAAAATGACTATAATCATCCACATGCATTCAAAAATTGCAGTTCAACTATCTCAAATCATCATTCTCTACTTCTATTCAATACCCATTTCCAATATTCAGCCACTATAGAATCCAACCCATAACCAAAGACTCGACCAATTCAAGGAAAAGCAAGGAAGTGAAGCTCTCCCAACCTAAATTGAAGCTACGCGGAAGAAACCCTAACGAAAATGAGAGGAAGATCGAAGGAAAAGAAATGGCTCCCTAGCTCCGTGAACACAAGGAAGATGATCTTCCACCGACACCTCAGCCTTCAAGCAACAATGAAGAATTCTGAATGTGAGAATGAAGAAGGAAAGGAAAAATTTAATAAGAAGAAATGAGAAAAGGGCTGCGGGGCATTACATGTTCCATTGAAAAGTCCACCTTCACTTACAAGTTCATTATTTAACTCCTATTCTTAAAATACTTTCATTATTTAACTCCTATTTTAAAGTTGGTTATTGTATTATGTTTATAGTTTAGCTTTTTCTCTTAAAAAAAAATATTATCGAACTTGCGACAAAAGCTAATTATAAACATGATATAATAATCAGGTACTTTAAGACCTACCAAACATATATCCTATCATACATCTAACTATAGAATTATCATTTTAGCTTAAAAATATCATATATTAATAATTTCAGCCATTAATAATTTCTGTGATCTTATTTTTGTAATTTTAACGACTAAAATGATTGTTGTTTAATAATATATACGGTCAAAAAAATTCGTTTAATAAATTTTAAGAATTGAAATGACGTTTTTTTTTCAAGGATTAAATGGACTGATATTTGTAATTCAAGGATTAATTTTTTATTCATTAGTTTAATGATTAATTTAATTAGCGTATTATTTTATTGGCTGATGAAACATACAAAATAATATTAAACAAATTTTTCATTCATAACATACATAAAATTAATAATTTGATTTAGTGTACATATTTTTTTTAGACGATATTATTCTTAAATTTTTAAATAATAAAAAATATTATTAAAAATTAATTATATTTATAAATTTAAGACTTTAGTTTTAAGATTTAAGGACCAAAACATTGATAATTTTTTTTAAATATTTTTTGTTAAATAAATATAATTAAAGACATAAAATATTTTAGGCAAAAATATATTTTTTGTCCCTTATATTATTTATTAGATTCAATTTAGTTTCACTTTAATTGATTGAATCAATTTAATTTCATATTTTTAAAATATATCTTAATGTTTAATTTTTCGTTCTTTCCGTTTAAATACTTAAAGATGTAACATTATCATGCCACGTATCATGTGTTCATGTGTCATGTGACATGACACATGACATGATAACATAACACATGATATGACAACATGTCACGTGTCAGATCCATTAAATATTTAAACGGATGGGTCGAAAAATCAAATATTAAAATACATTTTAAAGATGTGAGACTAAATTGATTCAAATAATTAACGTGAGACTAAATTAACACTAATAAATAATATAAGAAATAAAAAATATTTTTTATCGATATCTTAATTCCACTTATTCAAAATAAAATTAATCAATATTCAAATAAAGACACGCAAATTACATGGTTGTAATTAGTACCAATTTAATTTGATTTGAGGATTGCTATATCCTCCAAAACAAATTCCGAAACGGCCTCCGAAAATTAAAATATTAATATCTTTTAGTAAATTTATTATAAAACAATTATTTAATTTAATATTTTATTATTTAATTTAACAAAGTTGTTTTAATAATTCGAAACAACTTTCGAAACAACTTTCGAAACGTTCATTCAGACGATCTAACATTTTGCATTTGATTTACATATTTTACATAATGAAAAACTCTCTTATATATCCGTTGTCACTGTCATCATCAGATCAGGTTGCGGAGTCACGGTTTCCCAAACTTTCCTAATTTATATATATATATATATATTATATTATTATTAAAATACTTTAACTTATATAACTATAAAAAAAAATATTTTATGCTACACAAGAAACTAAGTTGTGTTGTAAAATGATTATTAATAGGAGAGAAATAATAATCAGAACAGCTGGGCCGAGAGAAATAGTCGGCTACAGAGACAATTTGAAGACAGTAATACCAAGAGGATTAGTTGATCAAGATGTAAGTTTCTAAAATTTGTTTTTATTTATTTTCTAATACATTATTTTTATATTTAAAATTTATAAAGATTTATAAAAAAATTCAACCATAATAGTTCTTTCATTTATGTATTCATGTTCTTAACCTATTCATGTAGGTTCTTATCTTACTTGCTTCCATGCTCACTGAAGAAACTTTGAAACTTTAGAGCATCTTTCAATTTTATTTTATTTTTCATTTTACTTGTATCATCCTTTTATCGTATATTCCTTTTATTTGTTGTTGGGTTTTTTTTTTTTGAATCTTCTTTCTTCAGGGTAAGTTTCTACCTATTAGTTGTGTCTTAACATAATAGAGGTGTTTGCCTTGTAGTAATTTATGAACAAACACAAACAAAAATCACAATTAAACTGCTGCAATCGTAACAACAAAATCCAAACATAAAAGCGTAATAAAATAAAATAAATGGAAAGATGGGGGATAAGCTTATGTATATAAAGTAACCTCCTTCTTCGTAGTATTCACTTTTATTTCATTTTTCTCTAGCTTTTTCCCAACTTGGAGTATTTGAAAATTGACGTTGACCAAGCAGAGAAGTGGTTATTGAGCAACACCAAAATGTACAGAATGCACCGTTTAAAAGAGCTTATTATCTCCGGGGAAGTTAGTTTTGACTCTCTCTACCAGTTTCTGTACAGAATGCCAAATCTAGAAAAGTTATCGCTATGGCTTGATAACTTAATGTCAAGTGCAAACATTGCAGCACAGGAAAGATTAGGAACCGTATTACAGTTGAAGGAATTGGTTTTCTCATCGTCAGATATAGAGGATATAGGACTTGAACGACACCCGTTTCTACGGAGACTTGAACTTTTGACCTTACAAGAGTGCGACAATTTGAGCATTTTAGCTCCTCCCTCGGTATCATTGACTTACTTGACATATTTGGAAGTAAAGTCATGTGATGGATTAAGGAATTTAATGGCATCCTCAACGGCAAAGAGCTTGGTTCAACTTAAGACCATGAAGGTAATCCATTGTGATGAAATAAAGGAAATAATAAGCAATGAGGGAAATGAAAAAGAAAACATCGAAATTGTATTTAGCAATTTGATTACTATAGAACTTGTGAGTCTAAAACAGCTCACAAGCTTTTGCAGCAACAAGAATTGTAAATTCAAATTCCCTTTATTGGAAATATTGATTGTGAGAGAATGCCCCAAGATGGAAACATTCTCGGAGAATCTGGAAAGTGCACCACCAAAGTTACAAAATATACTTGCTGTTGAAGGAGAAGAAGAAGCGAAATGGCAGTGGGAAGGCGACTTGAATGGCACCATACAAAAAGTTTTCAATGATAAGGTACTTACATTTATCATTCTTGTTGTTTGAAAAACCTCATTCATAAAATTTAACATAACACAAGAATTAATTTAATTCTTCATGTAGCCCGTTTTGTCCTAAAGAGAACTTTTCTTTTTAATCAAAATAATATAAATTTCAATTTATTTAGCTTGAATCCTATTCTTAACATTATTCTACTGATGATTTGATTTATAAATGATTTACTTGGGTTGAATAGATGAGTCTTAATAACCCAGTCATCTTTAATATCTAATGTGGGATAATAATTTATAATTTTTTTATTTCTGATTTTACAGGTTTCTTTCATATACTCAGAGTATTTGTATCTTTCCAGTTATCATGAATTTATAAAGCAATTATGGCCTTGCAATCATTTGGAGTTACAAAACAACTTTGGCAATTTGAAAATATTGCAAGCATACTACTGTAATAGTCTAGAGCACGTAATTCCATCTCACTTACTTCCTTGCTTTGAGAATTTAGAAGAGTTAGAAGTACGGTGGTGCAGTGAAGCACGGGTCATATTTAATATAAGTGATGAGACAAAAGCTTTGGGAATAATCCGTTTGAAAAGATTGAGATTATATGATCTACCAAAACTAGAGCATGTATGGGACAAGGATCCTGAGGGAATTATAAAAAATTTAATTTATAATTTTATATATATAAAAATAATAATTTGGCACCCTCAAATTTTTTTTGTCTAAATTCTGCAACTGGTCATCATCTTTATTAATTTATAACTCATCATTTATTTACTCAAATCTCCTTTATCATAAAATAGGTTGAGTGAGGTGAACAACAAATTAAAATGATTTGACAAAATATTTGTATTTAATTCATGATATTGAACTGCCTAATTATTCTCTCTATTTATTTATTTATTTATTTATTTTTATTTCTCTCCTTTTTCTATGTCCTTCTTTTTCTTCTTTTCTGTTTTTCCCTCCCTCTTTCACGTGTCTTTTTTTTTTCCCCTCTATTTCTCTTACTTCTCTATCATATTTCTAATTAAATATTATTTAATATGAAAATTATTTTATAAAATTAAATGTCTTTTATTTCATAAAATTTAATAAGACTTTCTACATAAATTTTAAAATAAATTTTATATTGTATGTATTTACATTAACTATTGAATATTAAAATAATAAATAAATTAAAATTTTATATTGGAAGTGAGAATGGGTTTTATAAAAGTTGGAAGATTAAATCCAAATTTTGATAATAGTAGTGGAGTTAAAAGAACAACTAAACCATTTATTTTTTAAAAATAATGCAGGGCGATTAACAGCTGAATTAAATTATGTTTTTATCAGTAAAACAAATTACAATAATGGTAATGGTAAAGTATTTATGCATCTAACCCGGTTATACTACTAAATCAACTACAGTGCTTCAGAATTAAGTCATTTATGTATAATAAAAATTAAAATTTTACCCAATTGGATATATAATTTATTGTAATATATAATTGTAACAATTTAATTGTAATAACAAATACGAACTAAACAAGTTTCAGAATAATACACATAAACTTTATGTACCGACAATATAAACAATTAATATTCCAGGTATATTTTAAATAAATAAATGCTTGATTTTCAATTATTTCTCTTTCACTAGAAATTTATTTGAGTTACTGTTAGAACAAATTTTTTTTTTACCGATATGTACAGATAAAATTGGTAAACAGAGAGAACCAGTAGTAACTTGGTGTCAATTAAAGAGTTCTTTTGTATTTTTTTTTTATTGGTGGACCTGTTTCTTTAGATTTTAAAAAATATATTTAAGAAAAACGATTTCAAAAGTAGTAACTCCAACTTGCTTTTATTTATTTATTTATTTTGCTTTTTTCTGCATCTGATTAGGAAAAAAAATCTCAAAGATGTCCAAAAATTTTAATTAGTATTTTTTTTAATAAAGTGTTCTTTTCTTAATTTTTTAAAGGAGCAAGCTCAAAATCATATTCAATTTGAGGCCAAAGGTCTGGGTGGATGATTGAAAATGAGGTGGGTTAGATTATGGAGATCGCAAGTTACGTTTTTCCTTTCCATTTTTATCCGTTAAATTAAAACTCCAACGTTTTGTTGGTCTTCTCTATGGAGAATCATTAAGAAAAATAAAAAATCCAAAAGGAAAATCAAAGGCATGGTTGTTGACGCATCCTAAAGCATTAGCAATGTGTGCTGTGCAAATTATAGAGTACAGGCAAAGTCGCAATTATAATGATTAAAACTATATAATTTAATAAATAAAAAAAGTCAAAGAATTTCTTCTAAGCCAATAAAAGCAAAAATTTTCTTCAATATGGACAAAAATATATGTTCAAACTTAATATTGTATTTCACGTTCCTTTATAATTTTCAAAGCATCTATAGTTGCTTGACTTGATTTTAGTAAATGTACTCGTGAGTTTTGATTGATCAAATATAAGTTATTTTTCGTAATTAGCTTTTGATTAATCTGTTTACACTTTTACGTTTTGTTGAAAAAGAGAAGAGATGTAGTCGTATCCAGGACAAGAAAATCAAGCTCAAAGGGATGGGGGATGTGCTACCAATAGTGGAAAAAGTGTTTGAATATGTGGTTCATCCGGGTTATAAGCAGGTGGCCTACATCCTCGATTACAAGCAAAATGTAGATGAACTAAACCATAGTGTTGAGGATCTTAGACGTGATAAGGAAAGGCTGGAACACCAAGTTGATGAAGCTGATAAAAATCTAAAAAAGATTGAAGCTAAGGTCACAGAATGGTTACGGGAAGTGGGTGAGTTTGAGTCTAAATTTGAGAATTTTATGAAAGATGAAGGCACAAAGTCAAGGTATCCTTGGAATAGGCATAGACTAAGCAGACGGGCAACAAAGATGGCAATGGAGGTTAAGAAGCTAAGAGAAGAGATCCCCAAGGCTGATGAAGTTGCCTATACGGAGAACGTAACATCTAATGATGTCGCTTCGTCTAATGTTGGTGTTGGCTACATCGATTTTGGTTCTAGAAAATCCACAATGGATGGCATATTGGCATCACTTCAAGATCCCATGCTCAGAATGATTGGGCTGCATGGGCCAGGTGGTGTGGGTAAGTCCACTTTTGTCAAAGAAATTGCTAATATAGCTCGAAACAAGATGTTTAATGTGGTGGCTATAGCAGAAATAACTGTCAATCCCAATTTGCAAAAAATCCAGGAAGAAATTGCTTACGTGTTAGGATTGAGATTGGAAGGGAATGGTGAAAATGTGAGAGCTGATTGTATACGGAGGAGGTTAAAGAAAGAGAAGGACAACACCCTTATAATATTGGATGACCTATGGGACAAATTAGATTTGAACAAGTTAGGGATTCCACTTGATGATGATAATGATTATGACGATGATTTAAGCAAGAGGAATGAGATGGAAGAGATGAAAACTGAAAATGAAATGAAGCTTAGGAGCAAAGTGATGAAAAAAGAAAAACCTCTTGGTGATTATAAGGGGTGCAAAATTTTGCTAACCTCAAGGGATGAAAAAATATTGTCTGATAAAATGGATGTTAAGTCAATTTTTTGCATTAAGGAATTAGATGACAAGGATGCTCTGATGTTGTTTCAGAAGGCGGCTGGAATACCTAATGAAATGTCCAACTTTAAACAAGAGATTGTTAAGAAGTATTGTGAGGGTATACCCATGGCAATAATTACTGTTGGCAAGGCATTAAAAGACAAGAGTGACTCAGTGTGGGAAGCTAGACTAGAAAAACTTAAAAAGCAAGAATTGGTGGGAGTGCAAAAGCCTATGGAAATTTCTTTAAAGATGAGTTATGACCATCTAGAAAGTGAGGAACTCAAGTCCATTTTCTTACTTTGTGCCCAAATGGGTCATCAACCACTAACGATGGACTTGGTGAAGTATTCCTTTGGTTTCGGTATACTTGAAGGGGTCTACTCGCTTATGGAAGCTCGTGATAGAATTCATACATCAATAGAAAAGCTAAAAGGCTCAAGTTTGGTGTTGGATGGAAGTTCTAGTAATCATTTCAATATACATGATATGGTTCGAGACGCTGCTTTGTCAATAGCACACAAGGAGAAAAATATATTTACTATGAGTAGTGGTAAACTTGATGATTGGCTTGAACTTGAGAATTGCACTTCGATTTCTATATGCAACAATGATATCATGGATGAACTTCCTAATGTTATAAATTGTCCTCAACTTAAATTTTTTCGAATTGATAGTGATGATCCGTTTTTGAAAATACCTCCGGGTTTTTTTGGTAAAATGAAAAAACTCAGAGTGTTAATATTGAGTGGGTTTCATCTGTCAAACTTACAAGATTTAATTAAAGGTTTATCAAATCTCAGAATGCTTTGTTTGGAGCGATGCAAATTAGAAGGCAATTTTTCAATCATAGAAACGTTGAAAAAATTAAGAATTCTCGGTTTTTCTGGGTCTCAAATTGAAAATTCTCCAACTGAGTTGTGGTACTTAGATAAGCTACAATCGCTAGACACCAGCAATTGTTGCATACAAAGGATGTACATACCTAATTCTATGTCAAGGTTGACTTCTTTGGAAGAGTTGTATACAAGAAAGTGCGTGATCTACTCTGTTGTGGTAGAAGAGACAAATGGGCAAATTTCATTGCTTTCTAAACTAAAACATTTGCATCAACTGAAAGTGGTGGACTTGAGCCTCCCATGTGCTACAGTTTTTCCCAAGGACTTATTCTTTGACAACTTAAATGATTACAAGATTGTGATTGGAGACATCAAGGTGCTTTCAGATGGAGATTTCAGGATGCCTAATAAGTACGAACCATCTAGATCTTTAGCATTGCAGCTGAAAGACGATACTAACAATATTCACTCTCGAAATGGGATAAAGTTGTTGTTTAAAACAGTTCAAAATTTGTTATTGGGAGAGATAAATGGTGTTCAAAATGTTATTTATGAGTTAAATTTGGATGGATTTCCGGATCTGAAACACTTATCTATCATAAATAATTTTAGCATCAAACATATCTTCAAGCCAAAGGATTTGGCTCATCCTTTGGATGTTTTTCCCAATTTGGAATCTTTATGTCTTTACAAATTGTGGAACATAGAGATGATATGTTGTAGTCTAGTTACAGATGTCTCATTTACCAAATTGAAGACTATCAAGGTCAAGATGTGTGCCCATTTGAAGAATGTCATCTCAGTTTACATGGTTAAACTTCTTTCTAGTTTAGAAACAATTGATGTTTCTGATTGTGATTCTATAGAGGAGATTGTTGAAATACCTATAAACTCTGATAAGGTTGAGTTTCCTAAGTTGCACTCTTTGACTCTACAATCATTACCACCATCATTTACTAGTTTTTATAGAGTAAAGGAAGACATGACTCCTCCGCTCTTTGGTAAACGGGTATGTTATTGCATCCTTTTCTTTTACATTTAATTAATGACATTTTTTTGTAGATATATTAATTGTGTATGTGCTTGCAGGTTAAAATTTCAAATTTAGAGAGTTTGAATTTATCCTCGATCGGCATCCATAAGATATGGTGTGACCGGTCCTTGTCAAGCTTTTGGTTTCAAAACTTAATAAAATTAGTTGTGAAAGATTGTAATAAGTTGAGATATTTGTGTTCATTGTCTGTGGCTAGCGGTTTGAGCATGCTAAAAGGCCTCTATGTAAGCGGGTGTCATGTGATGGAGAAGATTTTTTGCATTGAAGGAAATGGTCCACACAAGGTGTGTATTGGAGTAAATAATTAAATTTGTGTAGTTGAGTTAATGTTATGTGTGTAGTTATTGGCCATGCTCTTCTTTAGACATTTCTGTTAACTTTCATTACTTAATAATGAATTGTTTGCATCAAAGTGTAGGTCTTTGTCTTTCCAAACTTGGAGGAAATCCACCTTAGCAAAATGGAAATGTTAACAGACATATGGCAGGCTGAAATGAGTGTTGATTCCTTTTGTAGTCTCATTTCTGTGCACATTGAAGAATGTGAAAAATTAGACAAGATTTTTCCGAGCCACATGGAAGGATGGTATACAAGTTTGGAAAAGTTGAAGGTTGTTAATTGTCAGTCAGTGAAAGTGATTTTTGAAATCAAAGATTCCCAACAAAGAGATGCATCTGGTGGGATAGACACAAATTTGCAAAGTATTTTTGTTGACGAACTCCCAAAGTTGAAGCAAGTGTGGAGCAAAGATCCAAGAGGAATTCTCAACTTCAAAGAACTACAGAGTATAGATGTATCTTCTTGTTATAAATTGAGGAGTGTCTTTCCAACTTCTATGGCCAAAGATGTTCAAAAGATTGCATACATGTCAGTAAGCTCTTGTTGGATAATGATGGAAATTATTGCTTGTGAAGATGGGTTAGAAGCAAGCAATGAACCATTAGTGTTCCCTGAATTGACCAACATGGAATTATATGACCTAGAAAACATGGAACCTTTCTATAAGGGGAGACATGGTATAAAGTGTCCAAAAATGAACAAGTTGACAGTGGTGGGTTGTAAGAAGCTTGAAACATTTCAAATAGAAAGAAGTGAAAGCACAAATGAAGAAGTAGCAGTTTTCTCAACACCTAAAGAGGTAAGTAAGTAATATTTTGTCATTGAAAAAAGAACTACTTAATTCACTCTTTGTGGCTTGCAACAATTTTATTTAGAACTTAAAGCAATATTTGATAAATTTTAAGGTTTAAAGTATTTCTTAGAGTATTCTTTTATTTTGACAAAAAACTATGGAGTAAAAGGTTTAAAGCTCGCCTCATTCAATTCTCATTCCGTTGATTTTATTTTATAGTTTTTTTTAGTATTAGTTTTTTTTCAACTTTAATGCACACGCTTATTTATTTATTTTCAAGATGTTAGGAGTTAGGACCAGGGTTTTTAGGAAGAAATATACTCACCATCTATTCATTTTCTTTTGCATTCTACTTGTATCTTCTTTCTTCATCATCTATCATATATTTTTTTCACTTTTTTTTTATTTCCATTCCAACTTCTCAATCCACCCATTTTAGAATGAACGAATAAGAACACTCTTTTTGGGTGACCAACATTATATTTTGACAGCCTTATTCTTTATTGATTTGTTATTGCTAGATCGAAATTTGTGTTCGGTCACTTAGCACACATTATTAGATTTTGAATGTTTTTATAATATTTTTAAAGTTTAATTTTGTTATTATAATTTTGCAAAATTCATTTATTAGTCTTATAATTAAAAAAATTCGTTTTAATTATTATATATATACAATGTTTATATTCTTTTTAGTTCTTAAAATTTTATAAGTTTTACCTTTTAATTTTTATGAAAATAGACTACGTGAATTAAAAAAAATTCAAAATAATATGTATAAAATCTAAAATAAAATATTTTAACCAGAAAGACTAAAAGGTAATGTTTAAAAACAATGAAAAAAGATAATTAAATTATTATTTTTATTAAAAAGAATTATTATTTCATCGTGTTTGATCATTTTATTTTTATATTTATGTCTTTTTTTTTTCAAGTACCGCATCAATTACATTATTATCTCTCTGCTTATCTTAAAATATTCAAATCAGGATTATTAACCTTAGAAACTTTGAAACTTTAGAGCATCTTTCAATTTTATTTTATTTTTCATTTTACTTGTATCATCCTTTTATCGTATATTCCTTTTATTTGTTGTTGGGTTTTTTTTTTTTGAATCTTCTTTCTTCAGGGTAAGTTTCTACCTATTAGTTGTGTCTTAACATAATAGAGGTGTTTGCCTTGTAGTAATTTATGAACAAACACAAACAAAAATCACAATTAAACTGCTGCAATCGTAACAACAAAATCCAAACATAAAAGCGTAATAAAATAAAATAAATGGAAAGATGGGGGATAAGCTTATGTATATAAAGTAACCTCCTTCTTCGTAGTATTCACTTTTATTTCATTTTTCTCTAGCTTTTTCCCAACTTGGAGTATTTGAAAATTGACGTTGACCAAGCAGAGAAGTGGTTATTGAGCAACACCAAAATGTACAGAATGCACCGTTTAAAAGAGCTTATTATCTCCGGGGAAGTTAGTTTTGACTCTCTCTACCAGTTTCTGTACACAATGCCAAATCTAGAAAAGTTATCGCTATGGCTTTTTAACTTAATGTCAAATGCAAAAATTGCAGCACAGGAAAGATTAGGAACCGTATTACAGTTGAAGGAATTGGTTTTCTCATCGTCAGATATAGAGGATATAGGACTTGAACGACACCCGTTTCTACGGAGACTTGAACTTTTGACCTTACAAGAGTGCGACAATTTGAGCATTTTAGCTCCTCCCTCGGTATCATTGACTTACTTGACATATTTGGAAGTAAAGTCATGTGATGGATTAAGGAATTTAATGGCATCCTCAACGGCAAAGAGCTTGGTTCAACTTAAGACCATGAAGGTAATCCATTGTGATGAAATAAAGGAAATAATAAGCAATGAGGGAAATGAAAAAGAAAACATCGAAATTGTATTTAGCAATTTGATTACTATAGAACTTGTGAGTCTAAAACAGCTCACAAGCTTTTGCAGCAACAAGAATTGTAAATTCAAATTCCCTTTATTGGAAATATTGATTGTGAGAGAATGCCCCAAGATGGAAACATTCTCGGAGAATCTGGAAAGTGCACCACCAAAGTTACAAAATATACTTGCTGTTGAAGGAGAAGAAGAAGCGAAATGGCAGTGGGAAGGCGACTTGAATGGCACCATACAAAAAGTTTTCAATGATAAGGTACTTACATTTATCATTCTTGTTGTTTGAAAAACCTCATTCATAAAATTTAACATAACACAAGAATTAATTTAATTCTTCATGTAGCCCGTTTTGTCCTAAAGAGAACTTTTCTTTTTAATCAAAATAATATAAATTTCAATTTATTTAGCTTGAATCCTATTCTTAACATTATTCTACTGATGATTTGATTTATAAATGATTTACTTGGGTTGAATAGATGAGTCTTAATAACCCAGTCATCTTTAATATCTAATGTGGGATAATAATTTATAATTTTTTTATTTCTGATTTTACAGGTTTCTTTCATATACTCAGAGTATTTGTATCTTTCCAGTTATCATGAATTTATAAAGCAATTATGGCCTTGCAATCATTTGGAGTTACAAAACAACTTTGGCAATTTGAAAATATTGCAAGCATACTACTGTAATAGTCTAGAGCACGTAATTCCATCTCACTTACTTCCTTGCTTTGAGAATTTAGAAGAGTTAGAAGTACGGTGGTGCAGTGAAGCACGGGTCATATTTAATATAAGTGATGAGACAAAAGCTTTGGGAATAATCCGTTTGAAAAGATTGAGATTATATGATCTACCAAAACTAGAGCATGTATGGGACAAGGATCCTGAGGGAATTATTAACCTTCAAGTGCTACGATATATGCATGTTGAAAGATGTAATTGTCTGAAAAGTTTATTTCCAGCAGGGGTGGCTAAAAAAGATGTTAACTGAAGAATTGAAGAGATTGAGGTAACAAGGTGTAGGGCCTTGGTAGAAATATTTTCAAAGGGTGCAGAAGCAGAAGAAAGAGCAACAAAAACGTTTGTGTTTAGTTCTCTCACCTCATTGACTCTAACCGAATTGCCAAAGCTCAAATACATCTATCCCGGATTACACACGCTTGAATGTGAAGAAGATGATGATGCAGAGGAGCAAGTCCTTATTGAAATTGAAAAGGTAATTCTTATAAGTTAATTCACTTGTACTTATTATATGTAGGATCGAGTCTGGTTGGATGATTTTCAAATAAGAAGAAAAGTTGTGTAATTTCATCCAACTTTAACCAAATTAGTTTTTTTAAATCCCGGGTCGGTCTGGATAGATGCATTTACAGGTCTAAAAACTACTAGAAGAAAATTAGGAGAAAAGACAAAATAATTAGAAACCTAAAGTATAAGTAAATAAAAGAAATACTAATGATAATTACACAAAAAATTTGAAAATATGAATAAAAAATTGGAACTAACATTAGAAAAAATTGATAAAAATATAATTTTAATATTAGAAGTTGTAAATAAAATTGAAGATTTTACCTGTAATAAAATAAAATTTTTTTTGGATAAAATTAATAATATAAAGCAAATATTAAAAAATTTATTAGCTAAAAAAACAGTACAACTAAAAATAATAAAATTAGGAAAAAAAGTTTTCACTAACCCTAAACTTTATTCTTTTTATAAATATGACACCTAAACTTTAATTTTATCTTAATAAATAATTAAACTTTATCCTATTTATAAATACATATCATAAACTTTAATTTTATTGTAATTAATTCTTAAATTTTATTTCTTTTATAAATAAACACCTTCAAACTTTAGTTTAATTCTAATTATGTTTATCATTAATCATTTTACAAATAATTTTTTTTATCAATTTTAATTATTTATCTTAAATGTCAATCATTTATTAATATATTTTATTACAGTTACTTTCAAATATAATCAAAATATGAATTAAAACTGACATATTAAAAATTTAATGAAATCAGAAGATAAAATAGTATCCATTACTATTCAATGAGTTATGCTTTAACTAATTCGCATCATAGAATTAGTTTTAATTTTTCAAAATTATGAAGAAATAAAAAATTCCTGAATTATTTGAAGATATAGAAAAAATATATTATCCACCAAATAAAATTAAATAAAAAAAGAAGGAACTCTAATAAATAAATCAAAACAATTGAAGTGGAATATACAAAAACAACATAAACTACTATAATACCTAATTTAATAAAATTTTCAGAACAAGAAAATACTGATAAAAATAAAGAATCTGAAATAAATAAATTATCTCCTCAAGTAAGTAATCTTGTTAATTAAATTATTACTGGAAAACTTTAAAATGATAACTTACATAATAGATAAACTTATTATATGTATGTTACCTTTCCATACTGAAATAAAATAAAAAAATAATAAAAGTATTAGAAAAAAAATCTTATAGATAAAACAATTAGAAACTAAAGAGAATTATGAATCAGATAAAATAGATAATGATCGGGAGGAAACTCATTCTGTGACACTTTTACTATGATGCTCTATCTTAGCCTTCTGACACACTAAACAGACACTCACAAATTCATCTATATCTTTCTTCATCCTAGACCACCAGAATACCCTCCTAAGGTCATGATACATCTTAGTTGCTCCTGGGGTGAAAACTAAGCTTGCTCCTATGACCTTCCTCTAGGATCAATCGTCTAAGTGTAGGATCACTAGGCACACAAACTCGATCTTTAAATCTTACCACTCCATCTACACCCAAGGTAAATTCTCCTCCAATCCCTTGCCCTATAGCATCACGTCTAGGAGGAGTAAGGCACGATGGCCTCTTCATGCTTATAGGCTTACTTGTTTGGTCGATTCCACTCTGTTCTATTATTGACATGTCTTTGCTTGGTGGCACATAGAATCACTTAAGATTATTGGCTTTGCTGGGCGAGGCTTTTGACACGGCTTCGGCTCTTGCTTGGCTATTGAAATTTTACGAGCACTTTGTCCTGATGAATCCCTCTGACCTATAGCAAGTATAATGCATGGATGCACATGAAAATGCAAGATAGGAATGATTTTTACCTTTATTATTATTATTATTGTTATTATTATTATTATTAGTATTCTTTTTTTTTCTTTTTTCTGTAACACCCTTCCATATGCCCCTACCACATATGCATGCGATGCGATTTATGCTTATGTTTTGTTCCTAAAAGATGCAATTCATATTTTAATGTCAAGAAATCATATTGTACGCATTATGGTCAATGTTGATGATTCCTTTTTTGTCAGTGCCATTTTTGATTATTACTAAGACATGTTCCTTTGAACACAAGGTTTTAGTGGCTCCTTAATTATCTGGTCAATGAGTAGTCAAACGTCTCCAGAGTTCATTTAGGGGCGTCTTGATCTTCCATCTATGAGTATTCACTGTTCATTTTCCGTGTATCTTTTCAGTACCATTTTAATGCCATAAGTGATGAGGTTCTACTTGAAGAATTCTCAAGGAATGCCTTCAAATTCTTCTCGGTTCCTTGGAAGCAATGCAAGGAATGGAAGCTCCAAGAAGAACAAGTGTGACCAAGCTTTATCCTAGCTAAGTCCGGATAAAAGTAAGGTAACCTAACTCTACAAAGAGAGGAGCTCAAGTAGGGTAGAGGTAGGTTGAAGAGAGACTTTCGGAGGGAGAGAGGTCAAGTGAAGAAATCTCATTCAATTATGTCCAAAAGTATTTACAAAACTCGGCCAAAGAGAATTTATAGAAAGAATTAGGTTAAAGGTGTACCATGGGTTAGCCTAAGGTTAAGTGAAACCATGGTATGGTTTACTTAACCTTAGGCGCCCAAAATTTGAATTCAAAATTCAAATTTTGGAGCCAACCCGGTCACCAACCCATGTGCACTCATTTGTGATGTAATTTGGCATCCATTTGAGTTGCATTTCGGTCACACCATGTGCATGTGTGCACATGGCCGAAATGCATACCAAATGCTATGCTAATTACATTCAAATGACTATACACATGTAACCCTAAATTAACCCTAAATTCAAATGACCATGAAATGAA